GCAGAGTAACAGCGATTAAATCCTAAAATATCATCCACTTGTTTATGATAACAGGAAGGCTAGATGGGTGGGGGAAGGAGCAGTGTAACAGCGTTTACACCCTAACATATCATCCATCTGTTTATGATAACAGGAAGGCTAGATGGGTGGGGGAAGGAGCATTGTAACAGCGTTTACACCCTAACATATCATCCATCTGTTTATGATAACAGGAAGGCTAGATGGGGGGGGAGGAGCATTGTAACAGCGATTACACATCAGTAATGACATAATATCTTCATCACTCTGTTTATGATAACAAGAACACTATATGGCGAAGGAGTAAAGTAGCATTAATTACACACTGACATATCATCACTCACTCTATTCACGATAACCTCTTAAAGAAATACTTGACCATAGGTTCTAGTGTTATATTCAGTTGATTTAGGTTAAAATTAGTAAAGTATTCTTTTAATCTCATCTAAGACGGAGAGAGGCAAAGCGGATCATATAGAAAGATCAACACTGCGGATCGCAAAGTGACTATAGAAGGATATTGGTGACATTGTTGGCGCGCGATGCTTGGCCATTTACGGATATTAGAATGTGAACAAGCAGCAGAATAGTTAGGATTTCTTCTTAAGCCATGGATTAAGGTATAGTAGAAAGGCATGGGTGTGCTCTCCATCTATCTATTTATCTATCACTTTCTTTCTCTTTCTCTTTCTCTTTCTCTTTCTCTTTCTCTTTCTCTTTCTCTTTCTCTTTCTCTTTCTCTTTCTCTTTCTCTTTCTCTTTCTCAGTCTCTCTCTCTTGATTTCTCTTTGCATCCCCCTTCCCTTTCATTCATTCTGATCATACAAATAGAATTCTGTATTTGTCATGAATCTGGCAGCGGACCCCACGAACTATTTCCCTAGCAAGGGGAAGGGGCCGCCCCGTGCTCCCTCGCTTTGCCTTAGAATTTTATTTTAATAATCGCGTAGTTTCTACGTTACAATCATCATTGGAAGATGAACAGCCGGGCATGGCTGTAACTCGTGGTGCGTATTAGGGGCTTAGCCAGGGGTGATTCCATGCATTCCGGAATCCCCCCTGGCTTGTATCAAAATATCACATATCTGATACAGCAGGCCCGTAGCCAGGTGGGGTTCGGGGGGTTCGAACGAACCCCCCCCCCAATATAAAGCTGGCTACGGGCCTGTACAGTATGTATATAAAAGCATGAAACGAAAATTGTGAAAAGTTTTATTAGTATATAGTAGGTTTGGAATCCCCCCTCTTCGAAAGGCTGTAGGTTTGAAATCCCCCCTCTTGGAAAGGCTGGCTACGCCCCTGAATAGCATGTCGCACTTTGCTTTTCGTTGTCGTCGACTCGAGTTTTAATGGTATAAAATCGATGGAAAGCTGTGTACGTGCGTTGGCACTCTTTTTAATATTTTAGATGCAGACGTTTTAGGCGTCGTTGTCGTCACCGCTACTTGGCGACGAACCGAGAGCTGTACAGACTCGTTCTCGTCTGGGGAATAACGATCAATTCATCAGTGCAGAGCACTCAAACATGTGTGCGCTCATGAGAAAGGGCCTCGGTGAATGAATGCAGCGCCATCTAGCGTGGATTCTAACATAACACGCGATACTTCCTCCGCGAAATCACATGAAATCATTACAGTCGGAGGATGGGTCGCGCGATAGATTTGAATCTCGTCTGGTAAACGCATATGCGTTCCGACATAAGTCGTGCGTGTTTCGAGCACGTCTATGCCGCGCTAGAGGGCTGCGCACGTGCGTGGCAGGATGTATCATGGGCTAAATATAAACTACGTGCATGCAGAAGGGAACCGACCCCGAGATGCCCGACACCACGCACGCCGCTGTACTGAGTAAACCACCGTTTACACTGCAGTGCATTGACTCCAGAAGAGGTTGGTCGATCTATCCAAGAAACTAAGATGGACGACGATTTTGAATCTTATCGTAGGCCTACTACGGTACTAAATTTATTCTGTCACGCGTGCTGTGCCTGTGGAAGTACAGCCTGGGGAAATTTCTTGGTGGGAGGGGAGAAAATTTCGTCGTAATGGCGAGGAAAAACTTCTATTACGGGTTCAATAAATTAAGCATATGTAGGTTGAGATTATGGTGTTGGGATCATTTTGTTCTGTTGTTTATTACGTTTATTTTATAGTTATATGGATATCTAAATTTAACAGGCATATTCAATTCTCCAGAACCTAATAAGGGACAGCTGCATCTTTCGCAACACCTCCAGGGTGGGGATGGGGGCGGTCAATGACTGGCTGCATCAGTCATGGTTAATGTTTGCATCATTGTTATAACGGAAATTAAATTTGATATAAACCACGATGAATCTAAATTCGTGTTGTTATCATAATTTCGCGTGACAATTAATACACAGGAAGCGACGTGTTCGCGTGAGAGACACCGAGCGACAATGTCTGCTGAAAGGCACCATGAAAGAAATATCGGTTTCTTTTTCAAAAAATTTGGTAGAGTAAATCCGTTGCGATAATAATTATCACACAGTTCGGAGTACAGTACGTGGCATTTGTAATGTAACCGTGTCGTACTCTGAAGTCCAAACATGCAGGCAAATAAATTGACAACACGATAAAGCGACCGTTATGCACACACGGGCACATACGCACGTATGCGCGCACGCGCGCACGCACGCACACCATTACCACGCCCACGTGCGCGCACGTACTCACACGAACGAGCTCACGCATACACGCTTATTCGCTTGCACGTAGGCGCGCACACATACAACACGCACGCACACAC